ATGAGTTGACACACTCTCTGGCCCCCATAAGTCTGCATGTGCGTAGTCCAATGGCCTTTTTGCTCGGTAGGCAGAGAATGAAAAACTGAGTCTGTGCTGCTTTCCCAGAATGCAGAGTTCGCAGAATTTGAGTTGGCTGACTTTGTCCTTTCCCAGAAGGCCTTATTTGCTCAGTTCTTGTAGCCCTCTCTCGCTGACATGAGCCAGTATTCTATGCCAGATTTCTGCCTGTTGGCCATCCTTCGTTACTGTTGCAGCCACTCCATCAGCTGTATCTCCAAGCAGCACATAAAGACCATGTTGTTTTTTACCCTTCATCACTGTTAGAGATCCTTTTAGTACCCTAAGAGTTCCACCTTCTGCCTTGTATGAGAAACCAGCATCATCCAGCGCGCCAAGAGAGATAAGGTTTCTTCTGAGGTCTGGAACATGTCTCACGTTTCTGAGTAGTTGAGAGGTGCCATCATGCATCTTTATGGGGATTGAACTAATCCCAACGACAGAGCATGACTGGTTGTTTCCCATGAGAACATTTCCTATTTTTAGTGTGAGATACTCAGAGAACCATTCTCTCTTGGGGCACATGTGGTAGGTACACCATGAGTCAAGTATTCACTCCTCTTCTGGCTTAGTTTCTCCCATTACTAACATCTCAGAACTATCATAGCCCTCTGCCTGATTTGCTGCTGCAGCTTCTTTCTCCTCTGATTTCTGCTCAAATAGTTTCTTTTTCCATTCTTTGCAGAAACGTTTAATATGGCCCACTTTGTTACAGTAAAAACATTTCCTAGGTCCTGTTCTAGATTTTGACCTAGAATTAGGCCTAACCTTGGGTTTACCTTGATCCCTCTTCGGGTGTCTTCCTCTAACCAGTAATCCCTCATCACCGTGAGTATCTTTTCTTTGATACATCTCAAACTTAATTTCTAACTCTCGAGACCTTAGTGCGGACAGAACATCATCTAAGGTAAGGCTCTCTCTCCTATACTTAATTGCATTTTTAACCTCTCTAAAGTTTTCCGGTAAAGAGATTAACAAGATTATAGCCTGATTTTCTTTCTCCACCTTTTCCCCAATATTTGCTAAGTCTATTATTATTTTGTTAAAATCATGAAGATTCTTGTCTAGACTCTTGCTTGTATCCATTCTAAAACTAAAAAGGCTTTCTTTAAGGTAGATTTTATTAGTGAGGGACTTAGTCATACACAATTGCTCGAGTTTGAGCCATACCTTAGCAGCTGTGTCCTCCTCATTTACCTGTCTGAGGACGTTGTCGGCGAGATAGAGGATTATGGTGGAGTATGCAATTTCTTGCATGTCGATCTTCTCCTCTTCTGTTCCTTTCACATCCTTCATGTCTCCGAGGACTTTGGCGACCTTCTGTTGTACCAAGATTGCTCTTAATTTCTTCCTCCATAAACCGAAATCTCTAGAACCATCGAACCGTTCTAGTTCAAACTTTGCGGTACCCATCGTTTCTTCTAGAGATTTACACAGAGTCTTCGATTTGCCTAGTACCAAACCAGGCTCTGATACCACTGTTAGGTCGAAGCCAACAGAAGACTCTAAAATGGAATAGAAGATAACAATCGACACAAAAGGATTTTACCGAGGTTCGGGCAAAATGAATTACCCTACGTCTCCGTTGAGCTCTCTCACAAGAAGCCCTTTCACTATTAGATCAAAGATTACACTCTCACAACTCACAATCTCAAAGAGACTAACAATCTGCCCAAGAAAGATTAGAAGAAAGAATCCCCAAGAACGTTTACAGAAGAGAAATCAGAAACCCTAGAAACACTCTGATTTCCTCTTAGCACTCAAAACGCCCAAATCCTCTCTTTCTCTCTCTACAATTGCTTTCGAGTCTCTCTCTCTCTAAAAGTGAATAGAATGATCTCGAATAAGGCAGAAGCAACATTATATATTAGAAATACAGATAGCCTTCACCGACTCATCAAAACCGTACACGTGTGCACCTGGGATTGGCAGTTCATTAATTCTTACTCTTGTCAAACGGCAAGTCGTTTTTGATCTAATAGGAAAGCTGCAAATTAGATGATGTCGTTTTACTTGGAATTACTTCTTCATTGAGTCTGGCTAATAATCCAAGGAATACGTGGAAAGCAATAGGATCATGATATATGCAGTAATTCGTAAGATGCCTCGTGTTGATTGTTTATTATATGCTATTCCCTTTGTGATAAAGCTTTTTCTATCACTCCGCATAATGCCCGTCTCCTCGTATTGATTAGTCGCACAATTTTTAACACATTTTTAGAACCTTTTCCGACTTGATTGTAATATATATATATATATATATATATAATATTCTCTACTCTCAAGTGGGAGGATTCCAAAACCACTTTTGGGAGTTGAGGCCTAAGAAAGCTTTGAAAAGGTTTGGTCATTTTGAGGGGAGAGGTAGCATTAGTGGACCAGATACCAAAGGGCAAAGGGGCAATAAAGACCAAAGAGTGCAAGAAAAAAAAAAGTACACGATTATTGCCATTTCATCATCATTGGTAATTAATCATATACTATATGCATAGTGATAAAACAAAAATTTCACATGACAAAAAACTATGACAAAAATTTCACATGGAGAATTTGAATGTGTGTGTGTGTGTTACCAATTGTGATGTGTAGCAGTTTTACGAGCTAGTGTGTTTAGTTGAATGGAGTTAACGAGAAATGGATGGAGGGTGATAAACTAATCCATTATTTGGTTGGAGGTAGTAGACGAGGAAAGGGTGTGATAGAGGGAGAAGTCTGGCACACCAAATTTAATCCTTTTCCTGATGAAAATTCTAGAAATCTATTAAATTCAAACTAAAAAAAAAAAAAAACTATTTACCCTACAAAACTTTTGTAAGGAATAATAAAATAGACTAATAATTAAACAAATAACTATAACTTATTATTTTCTCCCCTTCATTATCAAATAACATGTATAATTATATTATTTTCTCTGCTCTTCGTATTCCACACCCACCCTTCTTAATCTATCAATCCATCCATCCAACTCCTCCACCCCAACAACCAAAAAATAAAAAACAAATAAAAAACATCACAAGAAAACATGGCATACTAACTGTTGTGTGGGAAAATGTGACAGACGCGTGGACGAAGTATACCGCGACACGTGGCCTTGACTAATCCCCACCAAGCAAGGAACCCTCGACGCTTACAGACCCCTCCTATTCCGCTGCGAAGGCCCAAGGACGAAGTCCAACTTAGGGCAACGATCCCTTATGGCGTCGACTGATTGCACCGTCGACACTAAGGGATGAAGATCTCTCGACTGCAGAAAGGGCCACCGAAGAAGGCGGTTGGGTTAAGTAGTGCTGACGACGAGGGGAACGTCCTTTAGAGGACGTAACGGGTTACGTGCAGAAGTGGAGGACGTCTGGAGGCATTAATTGTAAGCTGTCAGACCGCTCCCACAGGGGACAGAAAAGTATTACGGAGAAGCACAGAGCCGTGATAGAAGACTAATTGGCTGAGTGAACAGTGCTAATTAGTGGGCTACGTTTGGGCCTACCAAAGGAGAGCACTTGAGTGCTTCTACCTATGAAGGAAACCCCCTAAGCGAAGGAAGCCCAATATAAAAGGAGGAAGACCCCCAGGAAGAGGGGGGTCCGAAGAAAAAACTCAAAAGAAGAATAGATTCATTAAGAACGAGTATTGTAAATTGTGATTTTCCCCAAAGAGAAATACAAGATTACAGTGGATGTAGCTCTCAAATTTATAGAGTGAACTACTATAAATTTTCTCGTGTCATTTATCTATGTACGATATAGTAAATACATGCACACACATATCCATCAACTCCTGATACGTTAAACTACACACACACGGCCGGTAATCCGAAGGGAAACTGAGAGGTAACCCGGTCAGTTTTTTGTTGGCGAAATTTGACCGTCAACACTAACAAAAAGGAGAAGGGCAATTATCCCCTTTATAGAGCTCGAAAAGTAAAGGCTAGTAGGTTTTGAAATTTGTGATTAAAGAACAAAATTAGCACGCTGAGATTCCCCCTTTTGTTTTCTTAAGGATCTAGATTCCTAGCACATCTAGATTTCTCTAAAATATGGATAGCATATAGCAACAACTATCTATTATCAATCAACACGCGATTATATCAAAATGACATCAAGAATATATTTCTTCCTATATTGCAGAATTTTGTTTTTGTAATACATCTCTAAACCATAAATAATGTAGCAATTTATTAAAATGGCGTTTCCTTCTATTTTTATTTTTCTGACAACTGGTTGAATTCTAACTATATCTACCCTTTCACTCGATGTTAAAAGAAAAGGACAAATCCCATTAGGAATCATTCGTTACTCATTCCACAGTCTAGCAAGTTGGAGAACAAATTCATCAATTATGAAACCATGGAAGTACAGCTACAACCACGCATAAATCTTGTCATTATAACTTGCATGCATAACTATTACCGTTGAAGTACATTTATGGACATATAGATGAAAACGAAAGGACCAAAAGAAACAACAAATAATTATGGTACAACTCGCACACAATAATACATGCACTAATTAATACTTGATACATAGTTTTCCGTTGGCGGATAACGTCGCCACAATCTAGTAGCTAATTGGCTCAAACTTGTGAAACCACTTTAGGAATCCAAGGGCGGCGTCCCTCGCCTTCTCCGGCGGGGGCGTGGCCGGGTTCAGCACCTCGTACTCCGCCTTCCACTCTGCAATACACGTGCTGTTTTCTTTTCCTTGGAGAGGAGTGAATGTGAAGGTGACCCTGTATGGATCGTACATACGGCGTAGGTGTAACATCTCAATTTTCAGACTTAAACTTTTGTGCTAATTTTATATGAAAGAATTGTAAGAGAAATGATAAAGAAGTTTAAGGATTAAATTGCAAGACTTTAGGGGACATGATTGAAAAAATGTTCATAGTTAGGGGCCATATTACAATATTAAGAAAAAAAAAAGAAAAAGAAAAGGGAGAAAAAAAAAAAAAAAAAACTTTGGTTTGGTTAGAAAACAAAGGGCTTTCTTCAAAATTCTTAGGGCAATCCGGTTTTGGAGAATGATGGTGTAGAAGCTTGGAGTGAAGAGGTGGTTTGAGCAAGGATTCAAGGTAGGAGTTTTCTTCTTCTCCTTCAATTTTCGGATTTAAAATTTGGTGATTTATTGTCTAGTTTTGTTTATGATCAAAAGAAATTGTGGAGCACCTCTTGAAGTTATGAATTCTCTTTGAGTTGGTAAAATTCCTGAATTTAAAGGATTGAGTGTCAAGAATTAAGTTTCATTGAGGATAAAGGACTTTGAACTTGGTTTATGGAGAAGTGTGTTGAATTACTTGATGATTTTTGTTTATAACCCCTGATTTGGTATACTAGAGATATATATAAAATTACTTTCCATGAGTTATTGGTAAATGGTAAATAGAAGGTTGAATTGTTACTAGTTAGTTGGGGTTAGAGATGGACACTTTGGGTTTTCGAATGAGCTATTAAATGCTAAGTAACTTAGACTATGGTTTACATCACGTGTATGAGTTAACAAGGGTGGCTGTCCTACTTCACCTTGGTCACGTAATTGTTGTTTAGGAGAAGGTTCTCTAAGGAGTTGTTTTGTTGTATGTTAGCATTGAATACAACGGGCAGCCTGGGAAAACAGAGAAACTGAATTTTGGATTTAAAATTTGGTGATTTATTGTCTAGTTTTGTTTATGATCAAAAGAAATTGTGGAGCACCTCTTGAAGTTATGAATTCTCTTTGAGTTGGTAAAATTCCTGAATTTAAAGGATTGAGTGTCAAGAATTAAGTTTCATTGAGGATAAAGGACTTTGAACTTGGTTTATGGAGAAGTGTGTTGAATTACTTGATGATTTTTGTTTATAACCCCTGATTTGGTATACTAGAGATATATATAAAATTACTTTCCATGAGTTATTGGTAAATGGTAAATAGAAGGTTGAATTGTTACTAGTTAGTTGGGGTTAGAGATGGACACTTTGGGTTTTCGAATGAGCTATTAAATGCTAAGTAACTTAGACTATGGTTTACATCACGTGTATGAGTTAACAAGGGTGGCTGTCCTACTTCACCTTGGTCACGTAATTGTTGTTTAGGAGAAGGTTCTCTAAGGCGTTGTTTTGTTGTATGTTAGCATTGAATACAACGGGCAGCCTGGGAAAACAGAGAAACTGAATTTTCCAGAAATCATTCCAACCTTGTTAATCATAGAACCTTGAAATAGACATCCTAAGCTTTGATTAGAGACATGAATTGCCTTAAACGGTTAAACAGATAATCGTAGCCTAAGATGTACATTTTTGAAGTTAGGCTTAGAGGCTGGGTTTCTGCAGAAAAACCAACAAAATTCGATCTGGTTTATCATATTTTTAGAGACTTAAACGGATCCAAAACTAAGCTTGTGATACCTCTTTGAAAAGCTCTGGATGTCTACTTCGTTTGGGTTCTGATTTTGTAATTTTTGAGGCTACATAGAATACTTTGTGAATATTTTTGTAGTAATCGTAAAAGTGCCAATTCCAGAAATTAATAAAACAAAGAACTGAGGTATCTACTTTTTGAAATGGGAGTGCTGCACTTAAACCACCTTTGCCACCATTTAGAACAGGTTATTAGTGACGTGTGAGAGTTGAAACCACCTCATTTGGAGTTTTGTAGCTCAAGTTGTGCGCATAGGAAGTTTCATATAGAAACTTTCTAAAAACTGTCAAAAACGGAAAAAACATAATTGTGATTTCGTGGAAACTATTTTTAAGGTACTTAGAGATGTCGGATTCCGACATATGATAGTTCGTTGGAAAGATATACATGTCTACTTTGTTTTGAAGTTAATTCTGGAATTTTTAAAGATAAAAAGAATATCTTATGAATTTTCTTCTAAAGATGGACGAATCAGTGAAATTCCAGTTTCAGGGGAATGTGATTATGAATTAGAAATTGATTTATGGTTGAGGTATTGAGCTCTAATAACGGTGGCCAATTTGTTTTATTTTGCACAGTGGAAAGGAAAACGAACAAGGGAAACGAAGAGGGTTAAACTCAGATTTTGCTAAGCAACTCAGGTAAGTAGAGTTTGACTTCCCTACAGCACTTAAAAACTTTGTTTGATAGACTTTCTATGGAATGTCTAGTATGCCATTATGTGAATTTTTATGACATTGTCAATGTGTATGGTTGTGAATGCATGCTTATGTTAATATATTGTATACAAAGTAGAGCATCACGTGGAATATTAGATTACTTGTGATTGAGCACATAATAGCATGCATGTTAGGCTAGTACTGCCAAGTCCTCAAATGACTTCTATTGTGATATGGTGATTGATGAAATTGTGATTGAGCCGCGCAAGTCTCTCGAACCAAGTGGGTGATGACAGAAACTATATTGTGATATTGAGAAATTGTGATTTTGAATGCGCTGGCCGTTCCCTTGAACCAGGTGGGCGATGACGTGGAACCTGATATTGTGATTTGAGATAGTGGCATGTGGCCAGATGGTGAAAAAGTCGGCGGCAGTACCAGGAGGGCCCTAGTGATATGTAGTACACGTGCATAAAGTGTAGGAATTGATTGTCATAAGTTACCTAAGATGTTGTGATGCATATGTATGTTAAAGTAAGATTGTGTAATTGTAGCTCTACTTATTGAGCTTAAAGCTCATTAAAATTTGCTCTGTGCTGTAGGAAAAGGTAAGAACAAAGCAGAACAGTAAACAGGGGAGCTGGCTTCGTTGACCGCTGTACATATGATTGGACCAAAGAAGCTATACACAGATTGTTTTGGATTTGTAAACATATATATTTTGGAGTTAAACACATAAACTTTGGATGACTGTATAATTTTAATTGTGGCTAGAAAACTTGATAGGAATGGTGTATTAACGAAATTTTATTTTAGCAAAAATTTTGAAATACCATAGTTTTTACGTAAGATACAGGTAATGGTTAGTGATTGTGGCGCATCCTTAGAATTAATAGTATGAAAATAAGGCTACGAAGGAGATGCTGTAAGAGGGTTGTCACAGTAGGTCACCTCCAACCACGCGATAAGTCACTGACCTTCCACTCTCCACCCTCTCTATTTTCTCTGTTGACTCTTTCACGTAGTTGTTTACCTCTACACATGCAAATTCATGATAAAAATCTTCAAAGAAAAACAAAATACACTCCAACGTCTTTCTACGTACGCACCCGATCAAAAGGAAATCTTAGAGTTCTATATACATGATCTTTAGGTATATCGTGTCACATATATACAAAGTTATTTCATGATATATAACAAGATTTACTAGCAAGGAGTGGAGTGCCGATCTACTTGGATTTTTTTTCATAAATGTAAATGTATTTTTCTTCTTTGGAAAATTTTATTCACTCATTGAGAGATAAAAAAGATGTTATGTACGACATGGGGGTTCTAACTGCCGAGATAACTGAAATTTCCTTTTCTCTCTCTGCTGGCAAATTAAGCACCACTTCTCCTTTCAAGCTTCTCATATATATATATATATATATATATATATATATATATATATATCCTTCTATCTCTATCTCTATCTCTCTCTTGTCTCTTATTGTTTGTATTTTGTGACGAGGGTGACGCATTAAATAAGGACATGGGAACCTATCTTCATAAAGGGACTAGTTTAATTAAAGGAAAACCGAATAAAGTCTCACTTTATATTTCATTCTATCTCACACACGTAGATAAGGGCCTAGAGGATTCGTGCCTATAAATTCTTTCATATGCAACAAAAGAAGAGGGGTAATTCAACGGAAGTCGACTATCAGTTTCAAAAGCAGATGCTAATCTTCTCATATCTTCATATATTTATGTAAATTTGCTCATAGATTCAATGTTATATTGTAAATAATATGTGAGGATTCCTTTCATTTGCTAATGGAAACTAAAGACTCGACCCCTCCTTCCATCATAGACCATATAAAATCGACTTGAGATCTCACCCACTAACCAAGTTTACGTCCATTTTATCCAAGCGACACTTGAAAATCTAACGTTCTCATATCTAGGTACTAAAATAATAATCAGAGAGATTCAAGTTGTGCCTATTACACGTAAATAAATGAAAAAAAGAAGAAATATGCTTCATGAAATGGAGTAGAAAAATGCTTAAAATCAGCAGCTAAGTATCATCACTAATAGAAGATGGATTTCATCTTGCAAGATCTACCTTCTATTAGTGAGTGGTGCTCAGTAGCACTGATGCCCTATAGCATTATTTGACGGAGTATAGTATGTCATCGGACAAAATAATTCCTGGAACCAAAAAACACTAAAGAAGACAAGGCTAGGCCAAATATCACAAAAGAAAACAACGCAGTTTCTATATATCATTTCATTTCGTCTTCTTCCCTCTTCCACTGAGAGTGCATTACATTGTCTATTCTATCAAACTATAAACAGTACAAGTTTGTTAAAGAATTCGCTGGTACAACAGATAGAAAAGACACAGACAATAACAGGCCAGGAGTGGTTAAAAACACATAATACATGGCCGGCCAAAAGTACAAGACTACTTTGGCGTACTCATTCAACCTTTTAAACCGTGCTTACTTTGAGGGGAGTCTCACTTTCTCAATAATTTCACAATCTGAAGACCATCTTGAGATCCTAAGCAAGGAGCTGATAGCTTTCCAATCTCGTTCACTCTCTCTAGATAACAAAACAGCCTGTGAAACACCGAATTGGGAACAACAATCAAACAAAAGGGCAGAATGGATTCTGCAGAAAAGCCAGAAAAGAATGGACCACTATATTGAGACGATCTCGGCTACAGTGACACTCATAGAGAATGCTTTGATAAATAGAGTAAAGACCATCGAATAAAACACGAAATGTTTTAGGCACAAGTCAAGAGTAAGCCTTCAACTGTTGTCCATCATAATGCATTCATGTATAAATATTGCTGCTAGTGTCAAATTCTTTGAAGAAGTTATAGCTTTGACCACTAAAGCAAGAATTAGAAAGATAATACTGGCAATTACCAGAATGGAAAATGAAGCTGAGCTTATGCATTGGAGCTCTGTGTTTGATTTAGCTCCGCACTCAGCATGTGGTGGAGAAGCGCATCAACTCTTTGGCTCCTAGACTTCGAGCTGAAGAAAACCAAATTAGTGAGTCTAGACTATTTGTAAGGCTTGACCTCTTGAATAAATAAGAGCAAAAGATTTTGGAAGTGATAACTTTATACCAATACGTACCCAACAGATCGGCGTCCTGCTACTGATTCCTATTTAAGGAGGAGGATAAAAATATAATTAAAAACTGGTGACAAGTTCATTATCTAATAAACACATGGGAAACGGAAAAGAATTTGAACACAACAGTATCTTTTCAGATATCGGCATGGCAATGCAACATTTGTTATTAGCTCAAACAAGGAACAACTCCAAACCTTGTCTCGTTCTTCACCTCTTTCTGATGATTCAAGATCCAGTTCAGCAAAGAAAGCCTCCAAGACAAATGCAATAACCTAAATTGTACGGAAAAAGAAAGTTATTGGTTAATTTTTCCATAGGCTTTTAGAAGGCAAAGCAAGAGAGATGCATTAAAAAAAAGAAAAAAGAAAAAGAAAAGAAAAGCAAATTGCTTGTGCTAATCACAAGGGCTACGCATCAAGCCTTATTTTCAAGTTAAGAATTCCCAACACTGGCAATAGAAAACCACTTCCGATAATTACACTTGAACTCACAACATACAAAACACTGATGAAAATAATGAAGCAGCAGAATGTAGCTTACTAAATTCAATAGCAGCAACACAGTTAGTAGATAAAAACTGATGAAGTACACAAGTGTCCAAGAAGTGCCCGTCAAATCCTTGTAACTCTGAAATGACAAACCAAAACAGTGACATTTAAAAAATTATCTATTATATCACAGAAAAAAATTGAGGAAAAACATGGGCAACAATTTAGTAAAATACTGTCGTAGTCTGAAATCAGTTGCAAGTACAATAATTGTTCAAAGAAGGCAATACTAGCTAAACTCACAATTGAACACAAAGAAAGATATAAATAAATGTATAAGGATATGTGATGTGATGTGTGTGTGTGTGTCACAAATTGGTCAGAATTCTTCGAATTTTTCATTCATGGTGTCCCAATGCGGGTTGGGCTGTATGGGGCAGGTCCCAGACGACTTATATGTTTGCATTGCACTCCGAGGAACCTCACAACGACTAAAATACGCAATATTAGAATGATGCTACTAATTTAGTTAAAATATAGACAAAAAAAAAAGAGACAAAAGTGTCTTCCTTACTAGCAAACGACTAAAGATGACTGTACTCAATAAACACTGACCAGAATTTAGTAACTTGTGACATAAGAATTTACCTGCATCCACACTTGCCAATTTCCCATGACTAGCAAATTGAAGAGTGTCACCATACCATTTGGGTAATCATTGAAGTTGAAGAGTAAATAACTGATTTTGTCAAGAAAATCCAATTAATTTAATATTAAAACTGTAATGCAACCTGTAGCGGAGCATTAACAAACTAAAAGAGATCTAGAGTGAAAAAACTCCAAACCATATATAGGTATGTGACTGATATGGGCACTGGCCCATAAGCCCATTATCTTTAAAATTGATACTCACTATCGTATTATTTTTGTATCTTTTGTCTTTCTGGTTGGAAAGGACAGCTATAATATTGACGCAAAAAGATGATATTACGCAGTTAGTTTTTCCGGTGGACAAAGGATACTCATCGTCAGAAAGATCTGTTGCTTCCAACTTGGGATTCCCAGCATTAACCATTCCTCCAAAGATCTTCCAAAAGAGAGTAATAAAATTAGATGATGCTGTAACTGTAGCACCAAGAGCCAATAGGTAAAGAGAGCAGTAGATTTTACCTGCACACCAAGAGAGCAATAGATACACAGGACACAGAATAGTATCCCTAGATATGGCATCAAACTCGGTATGAGAGTTAAGAATGTTGCTATGAAGGCTCTGTAACGCTGGACGTACAACAGCAGCCTTATCAATCGCAACATTCTTGCAAGAAGAAGGTATCGAATCCTGTTAAGGAAGAAAAAGAAATGAGAGCAAATGAAAAGAAGAGGAAAAACAAAATTAGTTCAAAATATATAACCTAAATGTAGGTGCTTGGAAGCTGATTACACTAAAATATGAGGCTAACTTCTAAAAGGTTCTAGACATGACAAGTACCACAGATTAGTCATGAAAAAAGTTTACCCTCGAGGATTCTTCCCCATGACAAAGAAACGAGAAGAAAACCATGCAGAAAAATTACTATTGACGGTGGTGCATAATTAGGAAAACTCATTGAGGAAAATGACGACCAATATGCTTTGGAAAGGTAAAGAAACTCGACGGTAGGAACAAGAGTACAACTGTTTCGTACCATTCTCCATTTGAAAGAATAGACCCTTGAGGGGATGCAAAAGTTACAGTTTCTCCAATAACTGCAAATGAAATAATTCTGTTAATACAGTATAACTAAAATGCAAGCAAATGTATCTCTGCAAGAAATGAAAGGGGGAAAGAAAGGGTAAAAAGAGAAAAAAACTAATGCGTGCACAGATGCAACAGTAAGCTAAAAAGAACATAACCTTTTATATGAAGTCCAAATGGGGAACGAAAATGCTATAACATAAAGACAATGATACCAAACGTGTACGTTCAAGTCTGTTCAGGTTAGTTTGAGACACTTTATCCACAAAAGAGAATTGGGGTACTTTAAGTCATAAAATGGGAAGTGTTGGGAAAGAATTTTCAGTATTTTTCCACAGCATGTAAAATTGCTTCCTTTGTTTTCTGATTTTCTTTTGTTTGTTTCTGATTATTAATTGTTTCCTCTACCTTTTTTTTTCCTCATCATTCACAATTCGGATCGTCTTTGCTGTAGTTACTTACCTATAATCCATGTGATAAGAAAATCAAATTGATTCTGGCCATCCCTCCAATAGTTCTCAAATCCATATGCATATATTTTCAGAGCCATCTCCAGTACATATATCCATCCTGCATAACAGAAAGCAAATCACCAGCGAGAGTACAAATATTGTAAAATTAACTAAACAAACAAAAAGAAAGGAGGTTAGGAGATGAAACGGTTTGTCTTAATATTTTACAGTTAAGGTTTTAGTTTAGACATTTCTAATAGTACTTTCTGTTTCCCATAAATACATCGTAAGAAGCCTGGGATGAAAGAGAATTTTAACCAAAAGCCAAGAACCAATTTCTCGTCCTTCATTTTTCACCATGAAACATTTAAATAGCTAGAGAACCATTGGTTTGGCGAATAGTTAGATGTAACCACATTTCCTGAGTCTTAGTCCGCCTTAAAAGTGAACACTAACTAAACACGTCCTTTAACCACATAGGCGTTGCATTCTGTATAAATACTTTACAAAAATTCTGCAAGAAATAACGCCTTAGTAAGCCCTTACCAAAGACGAACTCCAGCCCTTGCCACACCTTCTGAGCAGAGTTGTTTTCTATATCAAGCTGCAAAGCAAACAGTTTTTAAAGTTGGCATTCTTTGTAGTAGAATTTATTCATAGCGTTCAAAAGGACCCAACTATTCATTTCGTTATATTAAACAATTGCATGGTTAACAAGGAGGTCGAGCAATCCATACACAAATTGTATCAAAACTAAAAAGATCGTTAGCCTTTCTATCTATTGATGCACCAACACTTTTCTATTTTCTTATTTTTTTCTCAGGAAAGAACTTAATTCCTACTGAGAATGTCTAAGATGAAATCTAGAAAAGTACGTCTTCTTCGATTTTTATTCAACAAAACATTAAAAAAAAAAAAAGCAAAAACCAAAAACAAAAAAGTATAGGTGCACAAGCATATGGAACTATCTCCGGTCCTGGGTATACATAATTGACCTTAAAATCTTATGAAAAGAATAAACGTCTGAAAGCTAGCTAAAATAGCAAGAACAAAGAATATAGTAAGAAATCAGCCCTTGAAAAATAAACTAGACTGCTCCACCCACAAGAAAAGTATATTTAAAGTACTAAGAATGTTAAAAAGGTAACTGTACCATACGGCAAAGCAAAGATCAACTTAAACAAAGCAGAGTATGTTAATAATTGCACTAATACGTTTTATTAGATGTTAGACCATACCGTTGTTTCAATGATGACAGTGACAAGATTTACGATGAGAATGAAGGAGATAATGTATCCAAATTTGGGGCTCCGAATAAAGGCCTTCAAATTTTCAGAAATGCGTGAATGGTAGAAAGATGGACAATATTCAAAAAAAGATGGCTGCAACAAGAACAAACAGTGTCACAGAGCAGTGTAAAAGCTCTCCTTCATGCATAATAAAGTTATAACTTATAAGCAACTCCCATGCATCAAAAATACAATTTGGCTTACAGTATCCTCTTTCTGGAATCTCAGGGCAATAGCATTGCAAAGGTCTGTAAATTCATCCAAGTTGATCTGCATGCAATGGATAGGGTCATAAAACAAATCATAAGTCAATCAATAATGAAATTAACTACATACTTATTCTACATATGCGGTATTATAATTAGAAAAAGTCAATTTCTCCACCCCGAAAAACATGAAAGATAAGAAAAATATTACACAAACCGACAGGAGTGGTTATGTAGTAAAAGAGAACAAAAGCTTTAAACAAGGAAAAGTGGCTCCAACAATGTTAAAAAAAAAAAAAAAAAAAAAAGATTAGAAAAAGACGTTATGTAGGAAAAATTCAATTTATTGATTAAATTATAAAATAATGAGAATTTAGTCAAATTATTTGCATACCTTGAAGTCACCACTGTCGTCTAGCTCATCAAATATCAATTCAAATTCTTCTTTAGTTATTTTTGGCAGAGTCCTGAATGAAAGGCAAACAAATCATATCAGCTTCTGCAGGATTAAATCCCACACTAGCAGTGAGATACCGAAAAATATTACAACCACACTGCATTTTAGGTTGCTCTGGAGAGTTGTTAACTATGGCTGCTGCAGCAGCATCTACCAGGAAGCAATAACAAAGTTGTTGTAATTAAGTTATAGAGCCCATTATAGAATTGGATTTTTATACTGTCAGCTTTTAAGGGTTGAATTAGAGCAGTCAGAGATGCCCAATTTTGTACGTGCAACAGCATCCAAGTTCAAAGTGCAGAAGAAGTTAGAACTAATGATTGGAAGTAACATTTACAGTTAACTTCGTCTCAGTGTTTCTCTCCATGGCAGAGCTACTATCAACTATAAGATTGTGGAACTCAAACTCTCTTCAATATAAAGGTCAAAAACATTTCGATAGTTCCCTACAAATTGATACTGACAGCATTAATACCTGTATTTATTCAACTCCTTGAAGAGTTCAATGCATTCCTCCTTCTTAATATATTTACGATTCTGTAAGCGAACAAAAATGAGGACCCATTTGCGATAAATGTACTAAAATATAGAAACAAAAGCATTGACAAGTACAAGGAATCTAAAGAACACTTAGAATGACAGAATCAAAATAACTGTGAAAATAATCCAGTTCTACAGGATCCCAGTGATCAGTAATTCCAGGAAGTAATTTGTTAGCTTCTCATAAATGTTTTAAATACGTGTTCCTGGTTTGTAAGAAGGCTTGTTCGGACTTTTGTTTGCTGATATTTTTCCTTTTTCATCATTTTTTTTAAAATTTATTTAAACAAATAATTTGGTGCAACTCTATCGATGTCTACTACATACAAAAATTTGTGCAAGAATAAAATGAGTTTAGATCTAAACGTAATGAGTAACAACTAACGACACAGCTTGAACAGAGCAAGTACACGAAATGGACACCTAAAGAGTACCCTAGAAACGTGAAGTGCCAAAAACCCCAGTTAGATCATAAAAAGAAGATGGAGAAGAGCTAAAAACACCCTGTACTTGAAAATAAATGCAAAAATCGATCTTGAATGAAACCACAGATTCATGGTTCAGGACCAAATAAATATGGAAACAAAAAACCAAATAACCAACATGGCAAGATATAGTATCCTCGGTGGTGAAGCAGATGATGCAAGCTTTCCGGGAGGCATGCAGAAAGGAACTTTAACCAATGAGTGATAAACTACTTACATCTTTATCTAACAAATTGAAGGCTTTCTCTAGTGTACGCTTCCGCATTTCATCCATTTCAGAAACTTGTTTAGCGAGCTATAAAATAAAAGAAATATTTTCAGTATATGCATTAAAGTCCTTGAACAGTAAACTGAACATAGCAGCTAAAGAAACCAATGAGACACATATCAAGAGTTGCAGTTGTGTTACAATCATGATACAAGAGAAGCGTAATAGAAAAATAAATTTTACCTCGCCTTTGAAGCTGTCATAAACAACGGCAAGGATCAAGTTGGTGACAAAGTAAACACCCAACAGCACGTAGAGAACAAAATACAAGCAATACCAGCGTGACACCCTTAAGAAACAAAAGGAAGTGCGTTAGATTGATCGTAATAAATTTAGTACGATCTGAATGTAACTAGCAGGTTAAACAAGACACATCTAAGCCAAAATTGACTTAAGATGTTGTGTTCGTAAGTACGGTGTATCAATAGGTAGATCTTATAAATTCATCAGACAAAAAGAAAATGTTAAGATGGTCTTAATCGCAATATATAGAAACTCAAGAACATGTTTTTTTTTTTAAAATAAAAATGCAGGGCGGAGTGATCAACTTTAGCTACTCCTAGGATGAACATCGATCTGTTAGTCTAGAAATAGTCTCAGACGCTTCCCATGTGACTCAAAATGAACATCGATCTGTTAGTCTAGAAATAGTCTCAGACGCTTCCCATGGGACTCAAACTTGACACCTTCCATCTACCAAACCACTTGGAAGTAAGCCCAATGCCACTAAGCTCCCACGTTGGTGGTAGAAACTTGGAAACACGTTAAGAGCCAGTTTAACTAAGTGCCAATGACCGATATCATGAAATCCAAGCCTTTAGCAACTCAACGAAGTACCTTAAGGTCCTAGGTTGTGTTCCAAGATCCAAATATAACTTATTAGATACAACATTTTCAGACTTGAAGAACACATGAGATGATAGAAGACATTGAGGCTTGGATAGAAATCCCATCCAGTTTCAAAACCTAGAAATCCCTCCATCATAAATATACAATCCATTTGAACATAAGGAAAAGTTCACTAACTGCACAATAGGGAGAAATAACAATTGACAGGCGTAAACCGAAAGGCCATGAATGATTGACAGAGATAGAATTGCTTTCCTTTGTCCAACATAACGAAGCTAATAATTTTACTATTACAATGTACTCTTCATTAACTTCAAAAGTGAAAAAAACTTTTTAGAGCAAATGTTACAAGAAAGATTAAATCTCAAGTCTACTGAACAGATGCTTTTGAATTCGGCCTTAGAAAAGCATATAGTTATACTAAACTTAAGAGTAAACTTTAGGATTGAGAACTAAAAGAATGAAGAACGCTAACCCTTGTTCAATGTTGCACTTACTTGTAAGCAGGAATCCAAACATCTGGATTGTTGGATGTAGTGAATAGAACAAACATTTGATACAATGTGGTACCGTACGAAGTAAACAATGTTTTTCCCTGTTGGGTATCCTCAAACATGACATAGGCGACCCAACTAGCAAACAGAAGAAACAGAGCTGATAGAGCCTGCAATTGAGGAATGAAAATAACAATAGCCATAAATATGAAAGCATTATTAATTTAAAAAGAAAAGTGTGTTTGAAACAGGAATAATTGCATATAGCAGTTTGTCATCTCATAAACCAAACGATACGAGAGTTAATCACAATTAACAAAAACTAATAAAATAAAAAGGAAGGTTATCAACAAACCATGACGTTTAAGTACGTGCCAAGCATTCCAGCCAGGATTACGCTACTCGATCTTAATTCCCTATGAACAAAGTTTAAATGGAAAACAAGAAAAGAAAAAGTAGACCATAAATATCTCTCGTCTAGGTTGATATTCGAATAACCAATAATAAACTGTCCATAACTGGACAAGATGGTTCCATAATTAGCAAACCATGCTACTCCAGGCTACGGTTAAAAGTGTTCAGTTCAATGTAAGAAGTTCTTGCACCTTCCACCTTATGTGTAGATGTTATTAGGTATGTACATACAAAGGCATGATAATTGATATATGCTAACTATAAAGGGGAAGGAATATTTTATCGTGCAGTACCTAATATTCAGGATGAAAAAGACAACTCTAATATATGGCGCAATCCTGAAAGGAAGAGAATCAAGAGCCGCCGGTGACAAATAGAGAATATAAAACAGCAGATCAGCAACCAAAATTAACAGGCAAAACACCTGAAATAAAGGAAATAGATAATGTAAGGCGAATATTATTAGTTCAGCGAAGGAAAATAAATATCATAAAGTGTTTCAGTTCTCCGGATAAACAAATGCTCTATTTCTTATTATTTCATCCAAGTGCTTTCTAGATGTTCTTTCCTAATAAACAAAGAAACACCTCAAATTCTCATTACATGAATTTCCATGTAAATCAAAGTATATAACCTCAATTCTATGGTAATTTCCTATCAATTGAATATTTTGGAATCTTATTTAATCTAACTTACAAATAATTCCTAAGAAGTTGAAGATTTTAAAGATGTAAAAAAAAAACGGAATCTTATTTAATCTAACTTACAAATAATTCCTAAGAAGTTGAAGATTTTAAAGATGTAAAAAAATTAATAAATAAATAAAGGAACTCCATTAGGAAAAAACAAAAAAAATCAGAAACTAACTCAACAAAATAACACAAGTGCAAGTACCTTAAACTGATTAAGGGGACGTTTCCAATAAATACGGGCCCCTTCATATGATAATGGGAAGAAAGTATGTACTATCAGTATAACAAGCGTTATTCCCTGCACAAGAAAATAGAAACCACAAATCCATCACATCATTCCTATTCAACTCTACTGAAAACTAAAGAACAAGAATCTGACACAATAAGCTCCGAGGTCTTTACGGTCCCGTTCTTTTCGCTGATTCGAGTTTAGAATTCGAGTTTTACTACAGTAAAAAGCTCTCAGAAACAGTCACATCTAACTTTTTTGCTACAGTAAAAAGCTCTCACACAACATCACATCTCAACTCGAATTAAAAATTCGAATTAGCGAACCGAACGGGCCAGTGGATATATCTCGAGGATGTGACGCTTACCTCATAAATAAGAGACTCCCAACCAGTCAAATATGGCAGGCGGCCAACCACTCATAAATAAGAGACCCCCAACCAGTCAAATATGGCAGCTGCCCAAGAAAGTAGTAATCCCGGTCACTGCAAGAATATGCAGTAGTACTCTTGTAACACCACAAAGGTTTCTGCAAAGAATTCAAGTATAAATGTTTTCATGAATACCAATTATAGTAATACTACATGGTACAGGAAAGGAATAATAATTCTAAACGAGTAGAAAAAACCATACAAACCTCTAAGAAATTTAGGATAACAAGTGCAAAATAGTTGAGGGACCAAATGAAGTCCAGTTGAGTGTAAAAGAAATAAAGCTTTGCAACACTTTGAAAGTTGGATTTCTCAAGTAATTCCTCAGGTAAGCCAATCCCATCTTCAGCCTGCAGAATTCATGCTAACTAATTAAGATGCGAAATCATTCGATTGAAGTTCCAATTAAAGACTAAATTTTTACTAATTTTTTACCGATTATTTCAGAGAGAGAGAGAGAGAGAGAGAGGAGTCAAATCAATAATTAACCAAAAGAGCCTGGAAAAGGCATTCCCCTTCCCTTTCTATTTCGTTATGCAGATTATAATTCTTCCTGAAATTACAAAATCCTAGTAGAAAAAAAAGTCCCAACAGAAAACCAAACAAAATAAGTTCCATATTTTTTTTTTCAATTTCCTTATTGAGGAAGCCTCCAAAAGAGTCTCGGAACAGAAACGAAGAGCATAAATTTACAGTAATCGAAATGGCGAAAAAAGCACCGCATTCATATCCTACTTTTCTTTCTGTTTCAACGAATAGAATTCATCTCGAACGAAAATCCAAAACGGCTTACACAACTCCATTTCTATAATTTGTCAACGAGCTCAAACAAATCCATTTCTAAAGCAAAATTCAAGCGTAAATCAGATCAAGTGAAGGATCAAAGCTGAAAGCAAGCTCATATCACAGAAAAATCGAAATGAAATTGCAGAAGAAGAGGCATTGAAACAGACCAAATCGACAAGCGCAGCAGCTTTCTGGTAAGGAGAGCCGTAGGCTATGGCGTCCGATCGTCGTCTGAAGCTTGCCGACCTCCCATCGCTCCTGGCATGGCCACTGCTTTCTCCGCTTAGCAGAGGCTTCTCCATCTTCTTCTTCTTCCTCCTCTTCTTCTTACTTTTTTTGACGGAAAAAACGCAGTGATAAGGCGACTAATCGAACTTCCAAAAAAAGGAGGAGAAACGTCTACAGTACCTTTTTATTTATTTTTATTTTTTGGTGAATCGTTAGAGAGGTTGTTGGGTTATTTAATGGTAATATACGTGAATGCGACTGAAACTGATGGTAATCAATTGAAAGGGAAAAAAAAGGAAATGTGACCAAGAGGATAGAATTGAAGGACGGGTTCCATGTCGGCACGGGCAAGGTTATTGAATGTGTGTCCTCACTTTCCTTACAATGTATCTCCCTTTTATTCTTGCGCAAAAAAGAAAAGGAATAAATATATATTTTGAGAGATTCTTTGATACGATTGATATATCGGTAGACATGTTTTTACTAACCGTTAAGTTTACGTATTTTTTAATTTTTACGTGATTTTATATATATTATATAAATATAAAACTTGACTTATTGATATATTGACGTATCGAAGAAGGTCTTATATATGATAGAAAATGTTTTTTTAGACCAGCAAAAGAAAATGTTATACGATATATGACATAAATAGAGAGCCATACAAAACATAGAAAGTGGCAACTAGGGCTGACAATCCGGATAGTAACACGACAACACGACTTAAAACCCGCATAAAATTAGTGAGTTTGGGTTTACTATAATGGGTTTGAGTCATAATCGGGTTGACATGGTTAACACAATTAATAAATATATTGGGTTAGGATTGACCTCTTAATACGAAATGACACGATTAATTATATGTATCATCTGTAATATAATGATATGTGATATAACATGAAAGTTTATATGACATTAAATATAAATAATGTGAATTTTAATATTTATATGTAAAATTTATTTTTTTTAAGAAACAGATAAATTGATCAATAAACATGTCTTGATCATGTTAAATAAGTATTATTATATTATTTAATTATTTAATATATTATTTTAAACCGATTATATAAATTGACACAATTAATACAATTAATAAATAAATTATATTTTAAATAATATTTTTAACACATTTAATAAATAAATCATATTTAAATTAATATTTTTTAATATAATTAATAAATAAATTAACACAAACACAATTTACTAACACAAATTATCATCTAGTGGCAATCAGGGAGAGTTTCCCTTAAAGAAACAAAACTACCAAAGTAAAAGAGAGACTGCTAGACCACTCCACTACAGCAACACCAAATCGCCGTGGGCCCATGACTAAGAAGGTGAACGTGGCCACGTGGACTCGGCCACAACTTCAAGCCCACCACGTCCAATGACCATAAATAAAAAATTGAAGGCAATTAATGCAATCATCATCTTGTCTAATCTATGCTCCAATACCGTTCACTTTTGAGACGATTCCCTAAATCCAACGTCTAAATTCTACACTTCAGACTATGCACAACTAGTTATTTGTCTGTCTAATCCCGCTACGGACCCACACATCAAGCACGTGGCGTGACACCATGTAATATCAGCGGAGACAAATATCTACCATTTGGGAAGGATATTTATAGAAATCTCAAATCATGTATAGTGTTAAATATCAAACGACATCAAAATTGAATCATCAGTTCCAATTGATAAAGCACAATTTTTTACAAATAGATTTATCGACTGTCTCTTATAAGCGTTAATTTTATATATCTTATATGCGTTAACTTTATATATTTTTTTATTTTTACAGGATTTTATATAAATTTTACGGATAAAAAAATTAACATATCAATATATTAACGTACTAAAATAATAATTCACTAATTATATCACTTAATAGAAACCCCAAAGGGTTGACTGGTGCACAGAAGCATTAGTGCTAAAGTTAGATTTCCCCTTTTCAAATTAATACAAAATGAACAAAAAAAAATATGAAAGGAAAAAAAAAAAAAAGAGAGAAACTTGAGGAAGAAGCAATGCAAAATTTGCAGCATCATGGATAAAGATGAAAGCTAGCAACGTATTCGTACAAGTAGACAAACAACTATAGTCCTGAGAAAAGAATAAAAAATGAGTAACAAAATCTGAATTAAACTAGCAGAATACTGGCTATACTCATTATACACACCGCGGAGGAGACGTATCTTTTTAGGATATGGAAGGGTCAATCAAGAGCTCCTCCTCCCGATTAAAAGTGAGCTTGTTCTAGGTATTAAAAATTTTACTAATTACACAATCAATGAGAGACCAAAAATTTAAAAAAAAAAAAAAAAACAGAAGAAGGGTAGCAATGAAGAAACCCAACATGCCTACAAGAACCTCCGGCGTATTGAAATGGTCTTGTTTTTCGTCTTTTGGAGTTTCCATGCGCCTCGCGATTACATCGAACCTGTAAAAAGTTACCCAGCTATGTTAGTAATTAGCAATTAGTGTGGGAACTATACAAGAGTGTTATAGTGGAAAGAATTTGCTTGACTTGACTAGTTGGAGAAGCTACCTATCCATTTCCCTCGCACTTAAAACCTTAAAACTTTTAAAACTTACAGGAGTAGTCAACCGAAGTTCTTATGTTCTTCCATACTGAGTACACAAGAGTTGGAAATCTATTTGCTTGAATTTGAATCATTTAATGCAACGGCATGTGTGTCTTACAATTTAATTACAGAAAGTATATATTACAAACTAACAAGTCTAATAAAGAAGACAAGTATCACAAAATATCTTGTTCAGCATGATAAAGAGGGAAAAGAATTGCTCAAACTAAACTAAAGAGGGAAAAGAATACAAGTATGTTCTTGGTTGTCCCTTCTTTACAATCTCTTTATATTGAAACTTTAAGGTGTACTCATTTCCTCCTGCCCATATTCATTGAATATGTGCTTTAACAACTTCAATTTCTTTTATATTTTTTGATATTCCAAAATCCCCCGGACTCACTTTATGAGCCCGAGCTTTTTCATAAAACTTTTGTGATACTCTATAGATTATATTAATTTATGCACGAATAAATTAATCGCATTAATTTACATCAAGAACTCAATTCCGGAAAAAATACCTGGAAGCCGACTCGGATGATATCTTGAGTTCTTTGACCACGAACAGTCCTTGCTCCAATCTTTGTGTTTAGAATACCAAAATCTTCCACGTCAATTCTTTGATTCTACGTAGATGTGTGTGTGGGCACATGTGAGACAAAACTGGTTTCTGAAACACTCGAATTTTCACAAACACCAACGCATGCACGATGTGGAATTTTTTGGAGAAAAAATATTTGCTCTCTTTTTCCTAATGAGTAAATTCGGCCACACTGTTTTTAGGGCTGAAAAAATGCTTCAAAAATTGTGTCCACAATTTTCTATCATTCTCATATTTAAAGAGTAGAAGTCAAACTTCAAAACAGGATCAAATCTTTATCTCTAATTTTGAATTTCGGAACAACAATCCCTTCCCCTTATCTCTAAGGTGGCCGGCCATATTAGGGTTTCCTAACCCTGTGTGTGGCGCCAATTCAGATAGGGAAGGAAGAGAAAAATCATCATTTATCCTGTAGTCCAATTTTGATTCAGATTCAAATTCAAATTTAAGTCAAACTTAAATTAATTTGAATTCTAAATTGAACAACTTATCAAATAAGTTTAAATGGATAAATCTAGATGTGTTCAAATTCAAATTTAAATAATCACATTATTTAAATAATAATAATTAATTCTCAATTAATTATTTTTCGAGTATTTAATTTTAGAATTCCGTAATTCTAAAATCCTCATTTTGCCCTTTGTGTCTGGTAGAATTACAAGGACGACGCGGGAACATATGGACCTATAATCTCGAGTTCCAATAAAATTAATAATTAATTAAACACTTTAATTAATTAATTAATTCTATTAATTCCAATAGTTACTCCACTATAAACTTGGAATTGAACTCTC